AAAAGAGCGCCACCCTGGCTGTTGTAGCTGTTGCTTTGGTAAACGGAAAAAGCATACATCGATTGCGAATAGCTCTGAAGAGCATCGAGGCCTAAGAATGGGTGACTTTGATGATGATGAAATGGACCTATCCTTGTTCCCAAAAAGGTTTGGAAATTCTGCTTTTCTAGTAGATTCAATTCCAGTTGCAGAGTTTCAAGGTCGCCCATTAGCTGATCACCCAGCTGTGAAATATGGACGCCCTCCCGGTGCTCTTACCATTCCTCGTGAGCTTCTCGATGCATCAACTGTTGCAGAGGCAATCAGTGTCATTTCTTGTTGGTACGAAGATAAGACCGAATGGGGCCAACGGGTTGGATGGATTTATGGATCTGTCACTGAAGATGTGGTCACTGGGTACAGGATGCATAATAGGGGATGGAAATCTATTTACTGTGTAACCAAACGTGATGCTTTTCGTGGAACAGCCCCGATCAATCTCACTGACAGGCTCCATCAAGTCCTCCGATGGGCTACTGGGTCGGTTGAGATTTTCTTCTCCAGGAATAATGCACTCTTGGCTAGTCCAAGAATGAAGATTCTGCAAAGAATAGCCTACCTTAATGTCGGAATCTACCCGTTCACTTCCATCTTCCTCATTGTCTACTGTTTTCTCCCTGCACTTTCCCTCTTTTCGGGGCAATTTATCGTGCAAACTCTCAATGTCACTTTCCTCACTTACCTTTTAGTCATCACCATCACTCTGTGCCTGCTTGCTGTTCTTGAAATCAAATGGTCTGGCATTGAATTAGAAGAATGGTGGAGAAATGAGCAGTTCTGGTTGATTGGAGGAACCAGTGCACATCTTGCTGCTGTGCTTCAGGGTCTGTTAAAAGTCATTGCTGGGATTGAAATTTCCTTCACCTTGACATCCAAATCAGCCGGTGACGATTTGGACGATGAATTCGCAGATCTCTACGTTGTCAAATGGACCTCCCTCATGATTCCACCCATCACAATCATGATGATCAACTTAATCGCAATCGCGGTCGGGGTCAGTCGCACAATCTACAGTACCATTCCACAGTGGAGCCGCTTGATAGGGGGCGTTTTCTTCAGTTTCTGGGTTCTGGCTCATCTCTACCCCTTCGCAAAGGGACTCATGGGAAGAAGAGGAAGGACACCGACCATTGTTTTCGTGTGGTCGGGGCTTCTCGCAATTACGATATCTCTTCTCTGGGTGGCCATAAGCCCCCCAAGTGGCACAAATCAAATTGGAGGTTCATTCACTTTCCCCTGAGAGCTGGTTGATATCTATCAATCCAGCAATGTTCTTTAGTTCTTCAATCTGCTGTTTCTTGTGGGGGCCTCTTTGGCTGTGGTCTATAAAGCCACCATTTTTTGACTGCGTTGGAAATCATGTCCCGTAGCCAGCTTCTTAGGATTTTGATTTTTCATGTGCAATAGAGGACAGTGAGAGAGGTGTATTATTTCAGAATAGAAACAATCTTCATTTCTTCTTTTACATGTAAGGGATGTAGGATTAGGATATCTGCGACTTTTCTTCTATGATCATGTTATATTCATTTGTAGAGCGGACTGTGATAGATTGATCAAGAACGCTCGATTGAAGGAATGAGTCACTAGGTGAATTGTAAGTCCCAACCCCGACGACGTCATGGAGACGAGCATTAATGAAGTTATTTTACATTTATTTTATTTTCTTTTAGTTTTAACCACCGCCGATTTTGTGGATTACCATGATGTTTCGGTATAGATAAATGGCATAACACATTTAATATTACAGATAGTTAAAAGATTAAGGAAAAGTTCAAATTTTTATCTCTTGTACTTATGTCGAGTTAATTATAACTTTAAACTATCCATTTGATCAATCGTATATATATAGTTTTAATTTGTTGGAATCGTGATTTTGTTACAAGTTTGAACATTTTTTACCTGTTTGATTTTGTGGCTAGGTTTGAATAATTTCATAATTGGGTTTAGAAATTTTTTGTGACATGATTTTGGCTGTTTTTTAGTTGATTTTTATATAATTTATTGGTTGTTTTTGTCAAATTTTCAATCTAATTTTGAGAAGGTCAATGTATTAGTTGCAATAGAGATAAGGATAGAATTGAAAAATAGGGTAAATGTCTTATTTACCCTAAATTGGAATATGTGTAATTTGTCATCTATAGAAAATGGGTTAAAACTCCATGATGGTCATCGAACGGTTGTCCTGTGAGATTAGTCGAGATGCACATAAACTGATCTGGACACTCACGGATATTAAAAAAAAAAAATTTACCATCCACAAAATAAAATAGTTACTATTAACTGGTAAATTGTATTGGTTTTCAATAATTTTCTTAATTCCATTGATAATTTGGATTCGTTAGGATCTTAAACCAATGTCAAATGCATATAATCTAGATTTGAAAATATGCATCAACAACATTCCAAATGTCAATTTCTTGTAAATGTATTGATTTAACTTTGGTCAAAGTATACATCCATTACAAATTCAATATCAAATTGTGGATATTTTTTTTCCCTTCAAAATGTTAGGTGTAGCATTAGGTATTAAGAAATATAAGTAGATGTCAATTTGATATCATCATAGCAATTGATTATAAAAGTCATTTAAAACAATGGAAAAATAACATATATCAAAGAGAATTACTTGCACCAAATGGCAACTTCTATTTGCCCAAATGTGACTAATTCTCTCAAACAAACAAATATAAAGTCCAAATTATGGCATTTGCTAGCATGATTATTATTTTAAAATTTGAACTTAGAAGTGGTCACAAATGGCAAGTATGGATCACTTAATAATATCTCTTCTTTAATAAACTTCATTTATATATATATAATTTAAGTTCAACCAACGAGTATATAAATAACTTAGAGTCGGTTTGGAAATGATTTTAGAATTAGTGATTTTAGCACCAGAGATTTGTGCTAGTGGTTTTTATATAATTATTTTAACATTTAGTACAAACTTTTTCAAGTAATTTTTGTAATTAAAAATGATTTTGAATGATCAATCTTTAAAGTTTAAAGAGAAAATTTGACAAAAATTTTAGAGGGACAAAAATTATAGAGAAACAAAATCTTAGAAAGAAATTATAATAGAAAGAGATATAAACTTAGAAACGAGATGGGAACTAAAAAAACATTTAGAGAAAATAAATAAAATTAAAGATAAATAACGTTAGAGAGTGACAAAAATTTCAGAAAAAAAAAATCTCAAAGCTTAAAGTGCAAATAAGGTGATTAGAAAGACAATTTTAAAAATTAAAATAATTATCATTTTTAAAACTAATTTTCTTTTTTTTTTTTAAGAAATCACTTGGAGAATCACCTCGCAGGTGATTAACCTGGAATCACTTAGAGTGATTTTATCAATTAGAAATCTTTGCCAAACATTCTATTTAAAAATAATAATTTTGGTACGAGTAAAAGTTATTCTTGTCATGACAAAATTACTCATAAACGCGTCCTTAATCATTCTTAAAATGGTGTCTTTCAAATTGAGAAATCTATCCACTCTTAAGTCAATTGAAACAAAGATATTTAACTTCAATCTATAGGTAAGAAAATTACATTTCATTCACTAAGACCTATTTGATACCATATTAAATTTCTAATTAATTAAAAAATTTAAGCGGATGAGTTACAATAAATTTAATATTTTATAAATTTCTCAATAATTACTTCTTGTAGTACACTAAAATGTTGACTTGTAGAAATCTTTGGTTGGGACTTGAGAAATATTCCAAATTTTAGTATCAAGATCTTCCTCTAAAATTTCAATGTAAATTTCTTTATTGTCTTAAAGACTTGGTAGGGATTGGCTACTATTACCAAATTTACTTGAAGAGTAATTTCTTCTCAAGAACTTATATTCATCATTATGGTAAGGAAATAATTTAGTCATATAATGTTTTAAAAGTTTTAGTTTTGAACTTTTAACTCAGTAAGTCTCTCACTTTAATAACTATTAAAATTGAATCCACTAGTAAATTTATGTTTTTCATAAAGGTTAATTTCTCTTCAATTTGATACTAAAATTGATATTATTTAACATTGCTTCAGTGATTACTAATACTCCGCGCAATTGCAAGAGAAATAATTGCTCAAGGAAGATGATCTTTTAATGATTCATTCTTCATCGTATCTTTCTTAGTCCAAAGTCAATACAAATATGGGTTGATACCGAAAACAAAAACCAATTCCTATCTATGAGGGCCTACGTATGAAATGATGGTTATAGCTCGAAAGATACTTTTTAAAGAAAAATGGTCCTTTTTTCATAATGATAAAGAGAGGCAAAATCTTGGTCAAAATATGTTTTTGAGTCTCGTAATTTGACCCTTATAATGTTTTGATTCTTATACTTTTATTTGTAATGATTTAATCCCTTATACTTTTAAAATGGTAAGAATTGAATTTTTAAGTAAAAATTTAATGGAAAAGCCCATAAATAGCAAATGAATGAAACCGATAAACCTTCAACGATTCAAAAAAATTCATAAGTGGATCAATTATATCAATCTATACCTATGGCTTATTAGATTACAATATAGTTTTTAACGTCAAGAAATTAATATCATCACATTTTTAGTACAAAAGGAACCAAAATGTTTTTTATTTTTGGATATCCGTGTGTCTGGGCCAGCTTGAGCGCACCTTGACTATTCACGGGCCAACCGCCTCACCCTACTAAATTTGGTTGACAAAGAAACTTGTAGGATATTAAATCCTAGGTAAGTGGCCACCATAATTTGAACTCATCCGCTCTAAATACTTTGCTATTTAAAGGAACCAAAGTGTTATAAGAACCAAATTACACAAGATTGAAAATGTATTTGAACCAAAAATATTTTTTATTTGGGGCAATACATCATCATTTCTTCATTTACAAACTCAATACATTAAAGAGAAACAAAAAAAAAATAGAAAAAGGCAAAACTACTTGGATAAGAATGCAATGGCATTCCTCACAACAATACTAAACCTAAAAACTTTGCATTTTTTTTTTCTTGAAAAAATCATCTCTTTTGGAAATTAAAGACCTTGATTGAGAAGGCAAAGATGAAACCAAATAAGACTGTAATCCCCACATGAACTGCTGCAACAACCCCCAAAAAGTCATGTTTGTACCCAAAATAACTGCTCACAAACTCTGCTACTGTTTGATTTGTGTCCATTTGCTCTGAAATATCCCCAAATTGGGATGTCACCAACCCATATAGTGTCCATGCCACAGGGCAGATCCAGTAGTACCATCTCCACCATATTGGGATTCTCTGCCAATACAACATTTTTTAATTCCAAATCGAAAAAATGAGTTTATGGGTTTGAATCATGATAGTCACCTATGTAAGTATTAATGGTATAAAGCGGACTTACCGTTCGAGGGACGATGAAGCCGGAGAATAGGTTCCAGAAGCCATAGAATGCAGAGGAAACAATGGCAGCAATGTTGTGGTTGGGGGTGACAGCCACAGTCATCATCCCATAAAAGGTGAAGTAGAGCAAGGTGAAGTACATGAAGAAGATGTACCAAAAGAACTTGGCAGCAGTCCATTCAAATCCAATCATCCCATATACTATCACCCCATACACAATTGTCTGAATGAAGATGTATGGGAGTTCAATGGCAACCTGAAAAAGAAACCCAAATTCACAAACTCGTTTCGGAATGGAAAACGGGAAACAGAAACGTTACGAAATGGGCGTTGTTTTAGTTACCTGTCCAAAGGCATATGGCAAAGCTGAGTACATTCCTGCTGCTCTTTCTCTGTAAAAGACAGTTCTTTCAATGGCCACAACTGGCTGAACTGAAGTGGCATTTTGTACTCCAATGAAGAGAACAGCAGCATACATTGATCCCATGGCATTGAAGAGGTCTTGTTGGGTGCCTCTGAAATAACCCAAAACAAAAGTCAATATTCAAAGTTGAATCCCAAAAGATCAAAGAGTTTGTACTTTTTTTTTTTTATATTTTTACCTCTTGGATCCCAGATCCCAAAAGATTGTCCCAAACATTAAGGCTATGAAGGTTGTGAACAAGAATCTCACTGCACTGTATGGTGGGTTTCTCCAGTATGAAAGGTGCTGTTTCCATAGGCAAGCCATGCATTGGATGACGAAAGATTGGGAGTATTTGGTAGGAAAATACAACTCTTTTGAATTTTCAGTTGCCACACTTAGTTCCTTGATCAAGGCCTTGTTTCTCCTGCACAGTTTTGGTTGTAAAAACTTCAAATCTTTTGCATGGTTTATGTTATGAACTCATTCAACTTGTGGGTATTTTCTTACCTATATAGTTCTGAATCTTTGTATAATGTGTTGAAGTTAACTCCAAGAGTTGCTTCTTGTCCTGCTGTGGTGACTTCCAACATCCAAGTTGCAGGGTTGTAGCCATCTTTGATCTTGGGAACTCCCTCAATGCTCTTTAATGAAGTTCATGAGAGCCTTGTTAGAGATTTTGTAGCCAAAAAAAGAGGATCTTTTTGGAGTTTTTTTTTCTGATAAGAAATTGTACCTCGAAGTACTCGATTAATTGTGACGAGTGTCGACCTATTGGACCGACGTATATCTCTTCCCCGCCACGTCTTAACAAAAATAGCTGAAAAGATGAATGAAACCAGACCATTTCATTAAGCTACCAAAATGGATTTTGAATATTTTGATTGTTGAGACTTGAGAGTAGTTCAGTTCACCTCATCAAAAGCATCAAATATATCAATGCTTGGTTGGTGAATGGTGCAGACCACGGTTCTGCCAGTGTCAACTGTGTTCCTCACTGTTCTCATTACAATGGCTGCTGCCCTTGCATCAAGACCTGAGGTTGGTTCATCCATGAATATTATCGATGGATTCGCAACAAGCTCGACCGCAATTGTTAGTCTCTTGCGTTGCTCTGTCGAAAGTCCATTGACACCAGGCAATCCCACAATTGCATCTCTTAATGGGTTGAGCTCAATGAGTTCCATAACTTCCTCAACAAACATCTGCAGACCATGAATCAAACATCAGTTTTATGACCTCTATACATTAACAGATTAATGTGTTGAAAATTTCACCTTTCTTGTAGCAGAATCGACCTCGGGAGGCAACCGCAACCATGCCGAATAAACAAGCGACTCATAGACCGTAACATGGGGAGAATGTATATCAGTTTGTTCACAGTATCCAGAAATCCGAGCAAATGTTTCCTGCTTTTTAGGATACCCAGAAATGGTAATGCTTCCCTCTATGTATCCACCAGTTTTTCTCCCAGCAAGTACATCCATTAGTGTAGTTTTTCCAGCACCGCTTACTCCCATCAGGGCTGTTAGGACCCCAGGCCGAAACGAACCGCTTACACCCTTCAAAAGTTCGAGTCGATCCTCGGTGATACCTTGAGATTTCATTTCCTACAAAAGATAATGTTTTGTTAACAATCCAGCAGACTTTTTAATGGTGGTTCATGTTTTAGAACATCATATATACCTGTGGCATGTCTACTGCATATCGGATTTCGTCGAAAGTGATCGAATGGGGTTCAAAAGGAAGAACCATTCCCCTCTTCTTGTTCGGATCTGCTTCACTAATGCTTCCAACTCTTGCAGATGAAGTCCTAGATGATAAACTGAGCTGATTTTCAGTCCTTCTCTCTGCATTGTGAAGTAAGTTAGTCAATATTAAAGAATCTCACAAGTGATGATATTTGTTGAGACAAAGGGCTGCATACCAGAAGAGCTCTTCCCCTTTGATGACAGCTCCAATTCTTGAACCTCTTGTGATTTCTTCACACTTTTGTCAGTCGATGACTCTTTCGACAGGACAGCCTGAGGCTTCTCAAAAGCTACAAGAATTCGTACCCGATGATCACAACATATTCGAGCATAAAACAAGGCCTAAAAAGAAGAGCTTCGACTACTTACGATCAAGGTATTTTAAGGCTATAGTAAAAAGAAAATTGAACAGCAAAATATATCCAATTGTAGCTCCAACTCCAATCCAATACCAACTCGCTTGTGGGAAGATTCCGCGAGATTTTAAGACCGAAACTCCCAGAAATTCCGTCGAGTTAGGAGCCAACTGCAACACGAAAACGACAAAGGTCGGTAACTTTTCTTCTCTAGTTGTTAGTTTGAATAGATTAGAAAATTTGGTTTTCTTACATGTCTCCACTTGTGGCCAAGAAACTCATTCACAGCTAGTGCATTTTGTGCATACATCATTGGAGAGATCCAGTAGCCCCAAATCCACCAGGGATGCACATCACCTAAACACAGGAAAGTTCTAAATCAGTACTTTTTCTGATGTAAAGGTATTGAAAACAAACATGTCACAGGAATCCAACCTCGAGCTAAGACGAATCCACCCAAAACAAGAACTGTCAGTAAAGCAAATGATCCAAATGTATTCGCAACGATGATGTTCCGTCCTAACGCCCCGATCAAACGGAATAGCGCGGATGCCATTTGGTTCACAAGAAGGAGCAAGAGAAACTGCTTGAAGAATCTGCAGGTCCATAAACATTCCTTTAGCCTATTGTTACCAAGAAAGTAGTAATCAAATTTGCAGTCCAATGTTCTTCATTCGTTCTCACCTTCCGGCGTTTGGATCAAATCCCACGACGTAGTAAGTCATTACCACCCAAATTCCAACTTCTACAAAAGTGATAGGGATCTTAAGGACCCATGTGGGCAGAGAATATGCCCAAGAGGGAAAGAAGAGGAAGTCCCTCTGCTTGTAGAAGACAGGAAGTTTCAAGATTGTCAAAGCAAGTTCAGAGAAACCGTTAAACATGATTATGATGATCGCGAAGAACAACGCCCCCATGTAAACCGCGCCATCGTCCACTGTCTTCCGGTGCATCTCGGTCCGGAAAAACAAGGTCATTGTCAAGAAAGCCATCAGAATGAGCTGCAAAAATGAAGAAACAGAGTAGTGCTAAACATGAGTTCTCAGAGAAAGAGGATAAAGATTTGAACTCTTGGAACTGAAACTCACTTGAGTCAACTTGAAAATGTAGACAAATGAGTTCCTCTTCATAAGCAAAAGCTCCCTTGAAATGCAAGCTTTCAATAGTTCCTTCTTGCTAGCACCGTACTTTTTGGTTGTTAAAGCAGCAGGGTGGCTTTTAGACTTGTCAAATGGAGTAGCAAGCTCATCACCAAGCTTCTTCCCCACATGAAATGACTGAAACGCTTCAGAAAACTCCTCCACACTGATAAAACTGTAAGGCTCGTCTCTGTTAGCCCAATACTGTTCCTGGTCTTTCCTTGAGGTGACCTATAAAACAGTTTGCATCAATAAAAGAAAATAGAGGAAAGAACAAAACAGACCATAACAGAGAAAAAAAATGGAGAGCTCCAAAATGAATTACTTCTTGTAAGAAGTCGGCTACTCCTTTCCTCTGGGGGCAAGTGAAGCCCATGTGTTGGAAGAACTCGAGCACGTTTTCGCGAGGACCTTGATACACGATTTGTCCATCCGATATCAGAATAATGTCATCAAACAGATCATAAGTTTCAGGGGCAGGTTGAAGAAGAGAGATCAGAGCAGTTCCATTCAGAATATGAATGGACTGTCTCATTGAATTAACAATCTGATACGTTGTTGAACTGTCCAATCCTGTTGAAATCTCGTCCATGAAAAGAGCTCTCGCCGGTCCGACCAGCATCTCCCCGGTCGTCACCCTCTTCTTTTGCCCACCGGAAATCCCTCGAAACATTTCATCCCCCACCATTGTATCAGCACAGATTTCAAGTCCCAGAATCTGCATTGTTTTGAGTTAAAGCAATCACAATAATACACAGAGACAACACTGTCTGATTATTACAAAAAGTGCTCACCTTTAGTACATAATCTGTTACTACGTTTGTCTCTTGGCCTCCTAAAGCTGCCGCCTGCAAAATTCCAAATATATTAACACCTAATGATTCAAACCCAGAAGGGAAATGGAACTTGAAATTTGAAAATGACAACGAATTTCAACCTTCATGATGATATCAAGATCTGGATCAGGTTTAATATTTGCAGCCTTCTCCCTCCTTGATAGTTCTGTCAACATATCTGCACAGAAAGAAGTTGCCATTAACAATCAATTCAGAAGAGTTTCTTGAAGTGAAAACTTGGATGTTCTGTAAACTGACCATAACGTGGACCAACTCCTTGGCATCTGGCTGAAAAAGACAAGGTTTCTCTTACAGTCATTTCTCCTATGTGAAGGTCTTGTTGGCTTATGTACGCTGATGTTCTCTGTGGGACGAACTCATTCATGCCATGTCCATTGTATGTAACTCTCCCAGAAAACTGTAAACTCACACAATCAGCTCAACTTTTAAACCAAAATCTTCAGAAATTTACTAAGTGTTGGGATTTTTTTGTCTTTACTTTGAGATCCTTCCCAAGTTTTCCAGCTAATGCCTTGAGTAATGTCGTCTTCCCGGAGCTCGGCGGCCCTAGAAGCAGAGTCATTCTACGAAACACGAATACAGAAGTCAAACTACCATTGAACCCAAAAGTTTAAGCGTACAAGTCATCTAAATGACGTCACACAAGTCTATACATAATATCTTCTGGTCTGATACCATATTCAATTAGATAGAAAGTTCTATAAAAGTTGAACTCTGCACCAACCTTCCCGGCTTGATGATTCCACTAACATCATGAAGAATCGACAGTTGATTCTTTCGGCTTCGGACGATGTGAAAGTAGTTCAAGAACCCCTTTGAAGAGGGAGAGAGAGAGAGAGATCATAAAGATGAGAACTTTTGGTCAAAAAACGTAGTGGGAAATGAAGTTAGAATTTGTGGGCGGCAGTTCTGTTACCTCTAACATGTTGAGAGAAAAGTTGAACATGGTTGGTAAAGCTCTGCCTGCTGTATGAGCCTCTGCTTCAACTTCCAGATGCTCAAACCGAACTTCAATGGCAGGAAGATCAAGCCCAACTCTGCATAATTCCAAGTCCCAAATCAGAAATAATTAGATCCTATTTACTAACCTCGTCAAAAACAAAAAAAAAAAAACGAGAAACAAGAAACAAGAAACAGAAACGTTGTTAAGACACTTTCAAATGCTACTTCCAAAAACAAGAAATCAAAATTTTGTTGTTTCGAAATAAGAAACTAGAAGCAAGTAACTGTTGAAAAACAACAGGAAACAACAAAACAGTAAATGATAAACAGCAACGTAAAATTATGATCCCCTTTCTCTGTTTTTACCTTTCCATGCGGTCCTTCAACTTGAGCAAGAATCTCTCATTATCTTCCTCAGCGATCTTGACAAGCCTCTCCAAAACGTTTCTCCTTTCAAGCAACCCCAAATTCTTAACATCAATTTCTCTGGCAGATTCACCCTCTAGAGACAGAATTCCTCTCCTAACACGTAAATAAGTAGGCAGCTTCTCAATGGAGGCCCATTTGAGAGCCTCCTCGTCGTCTTCGTCTCGAGACGACCTCGAAAAAACTTCCATGGCGCTGTTCCTCCATATGCTGGAGCTGTTTATACGGGCACTGCTCACTCTGTATATCTCTCCACTATCCATCTGCACAACCAATCATATAAACAACTCGACACAACAGACCGTTGTTTCGTTATCCGTGAGATCAGTCGAGGAGTGAAGGAAACTTTTTTCGCTGTTGGGTCCTTCAAAGAAGGGAGAATGAAGAAAAATTTGAGATGTTGAGAGGAAGGAGAAGATGGGTTTGGTGTACTTATAGATGTGGAAGAACAAGGGGTGGAAAAGATTGTCTTTTTTTTTTTGTTTTGGTTGGTGGTTTTTTGTTGATGTAATGTCACATGTCAGTTGGGGGAAACAGAGTAACTAAATATTTAATATATTCATATTAAAAAAAATAGAAAAAAGAAAAGAAAGAAAAAGAATAAAAAGTCTATTGGCGACATGATTGATTATTTGCATCCCCTGGCTTGCGCTGCAAACATTATAACAAAATTAATGGAAGCTGACATGAACATTTTTAAATAATGTAATAACTTTTTGAAAAAAAAATGAGAAAAAGAAATGGAAGATAACATGGATGGTTCCTTTCCAAGGATGACTTGGGAAGTTTCATTCTAATCACTGACACTTATTTAATTTTTTTTTTCGTTAATATTATATTAATTAACTAACTTTCTGTTGGGTAATAATTTTATTGTTTTGTTCATTTACTACCCTTTTTTCTAATTTAATTTTCACGTTTTCAAAATATTTTTAAATTTTTGGTAAAATTTAAGAAACTAAGGGTAGATTTTCACATAAATGAATTGACTTTATCCTGTCAAAAAAAAATGAATTGACTTTATAATGAAAGAAGCGGATTTTAACAATATGGACAATAGACTGTTTAATTAGYGAAAGTTAAAAAATAAAATAAAATAACAATRGTTCAACTAGTTTAAGACTACTAGATGGATATGTTATGGTGGTTTTTATTATTATTTTAATTTAACTATGTGTCGGGAAAATTTGAAACTTCAAACATTTTAGTTAAAAATATATATTTTAATCAGTTGAATTATATTTAAATTGACTTATAGTTACCTGTTTAAAAAGAGGAATAAAGAAGCCAAAGTCGTTATTTGTTGAATTCAGAAGATTGTCAATGTTAACATCTTTTCTTGGGTTCAAATTCTAAAAATTATCATCAAACTATTTTATTTATTAGAAGTATATATTTTGTAGTCAACAAAATATAAAATTTTTATAGTCCATAACATTTCTTTTCCTACTCTTAGAAAAA